GGGCGACGCTAGCCAATTCCGACGAGGAGTAAAGTTACACTTAGCTGGAGTAACGACTTGATTCGTCCTTAAAAGGAATCTCACCCGGGAGATGGAGCTGTCATAAAAACGGGAAAAAGTAAAATCTAAACCAAGAACCCAGCATCGGGTCCCAATCACCTCACTAATTACTCTCTCGGACTCTCCCACTCACAACTATCGATACATCGAGTTGAACGCCGAATATGAGTTTATGTGTCCGGTGCTGTGGAAGAAACGGATCCTGCCCGGAGCCCCACACAGAAATCAAAAATTGCCCCGATTGCATCCTTGGTTGTAGCAAATGTGTCCGGAGATTCCTGGATGCTGGCTTAGCTTGTCGATTTTGCATTCCCAGGGTGTGAAGCTAATTTCATGGACAGTCAAGCCAGCATCTAGGGATCACTAGACTTGACTTGCCAGCCTATTTTTTTCTGTGTAGGCAAAGGCAATATGTTCTTAAGACCCAAAACTCTATTTAGTAAAAGTTACTCTCAGAATCCAACGCTCATATTCGAGAGTTACCCCCGGAATCCAACGATCAAATTCGTGAAGTGATGGTTCAAGACCTAGAAGTTAAGCAATTGGTTTAGCAATTCCAACTAAATTTGCAAAAACTCCCTCCAAAAGAGTGCTGACCCCTACATTCATCAGTACAAAAAAATAGTATTGACTAGAGTACCTATATAGAGAGAGAGTACGGGCATGTCGCAATATGCAGCTCTTAGGGCCCGAAAGGGCAGTCAACCTTCTAAAAGCCAATCCTTAAATTCCAATATCAAACCAAGATGACTAATAATTTTCATAAATGAGCGTTTTTCCACACAAATGAGTAAAATTATGCAAAAACTAAGTCAAATACGTGCTTCATGAACTACGGGTTGTAATTATAAATCACTCTGGATAATTTGAACTCATAGGTTTGCTGCCTTTTTTGGCCTTAAAAGCTCCATGGCCTAATTTCAAAAATACCGACTTGTCCATACTCTTCCCATATCGGTATTCTTATCCTAGTGTTGACCTCAGAATATAACTTTTATCTCGCTTGATTACATTACTGCTCCTCTCAGTGAAGCAGTCCCTCCAGCTTCGATTGTTGAATCGTTGATCGAACGATCCAAATCGATAATTCCCTATCTTAGCAATGCTTTTTATCGATCATGGTCGTTCGATATCGATTCAACAATTGAGCCGCAGTTTAAGTTGCCATCCATCGATTAATATCGACGGCTTCGGAGGACGGCTCTTGTGGGGCGCCTGCCGCCAGGTGAGCCGGAGCGGTGTCTACATTGTTCCCGGGTTTAATTGTCATTGTCGGCCGATTACTCGATTAGGAAGTACATAACTAACATCTCGGACACGTTGGACGGTGGCATCGCATCCTCGGCGACCCGTGCTCCCCTTATCGCGTGGCCCACTTGCGCGCCCCCTTTCGGCCGCACCGCATAACTGTACCCAATCCCGATCCCTCGCGACCTGGAACTCGGAGAGCCCGTTTATGACCCCCGATAAAATTTCGAGGGAAAGTCCTCAACGAGCATCTCGGAAAAGTTGGTATTTTAATTACTCCGGCTAAACCCCTGAGTCTTGGTCGTTCAAGGTCTCGTCCATTAGCCTGCCAACGGCTAATTGCCCGGCTTACGTCATAAAGTTCGGTCGTTTTCGATTTTTACTGGCGATCATAGGAAATGGATTTTGTGGGTCAGTAGTGTCAGTACTTTTAGTTTTTATTTTTATCGCTGCGCCTTCAATTTTTAGGAAATGTTAATGTACCCGCTGATGAACCTTCCCTTTCCCATTCTCCTCTCCACCTATCTTCCTTGGATCCTTGAACTCTTTGCTGCTTCCAGAAATCACTAATTTCGGTTTTTGTCTGCTCTCGGTTCTCTTCTGTTATTTATTTATTTTTTCATCATATTTTTATTTCAAGACTTTTCCGATACAATTTTTTTTTTTAAAAGACGCTGCCTCTAGACAAAGTCTCTGCTCTACTCTTAGGGATTAGCCACTCAGAAGCTGCACAGAGGTACCCACGGCAGGCAGAAGCCGACGCGCTACTGTTTATACTATTTCCCTTAATTTTTCCCTCTGGCATAGGTGAACTTTACGCCCCCTACGGCTCATCTACTTCTTAGATGCTTTGAAAGTTCGGCAATTTTCTCCAGAAAGCCCTCGGAAGACGGCGTGTGCTCTAGAAAGCTACTCAGAAACATTGTACAAGTGGGCGTGATTTTCTTTGGGGAACCTAAAAAGCGGATTTTAAATTCTACCATACGGAACTGAACGCCAACTGAATGCGGCACTCACGAGAAGAGAGCATGGGAAAAGAGCGTTTTGGACAGGGCTCATGAGTTAAAGAAGACTACGGGCGACCGCGGCGACGGCTTCGTCGCCGCTGACGTCGCTGGCGCTTTATAATTCCCAACCACTCTTACGGCCCTTGACTATCGAGCGCACCCCTTCTTTTCCACCTGTCTCTAGTTCCATTTGGCAGAAATGCGTCCAATTTTTCCCCGAATCCCTTCGGTTCCCCATTACTGTGGCCCGACCCAACTGTGGGCGCTCTGTGCCCTGTCTATTTCTGCACCCCCTGAGTTTTCATAGACACGAGACATCCTCTGGAATGACCTCTTGGAGAGCGCGAGACAGTCGCAGTCGTGCCGCCATGCGTGGGAGGGCTGATCCCGGCCTGGCCGAGGGAAACAATGCAAGGTCGCAAAAGCAATTGACCACTATTGCCCAGTAATAAGCTCCATTGAGTTTATTATCCTCCGGTTTCTTTTTTGTTCTCCTCCGCTGTCTGTCGCAGTCCTGATCAAGAACCGCGTAACGTCAGCCAAAAGACTCCGTGTAGATACGCGACTCTCGCTAAAAAGGGGTCCTCGTGCTTGCCAATTTGGAAGCTGCGGCCGGGCCGGCGGTCCAGACGCAAGACCTTCCGGGCGATCCCAGTCGATCCCAGTCGGATTTTGTAACGCGAAAATTGAAA